TTAGTCGCTGGTTGGTTGGTTGGGCAGTAGGTTTGTTGGTTAGTTGATTTTTCTCTTAGCTGTTGATTGATTTGTTGATACGATTATTGCGCCCCTGATAGACTGACTGGTTGTCGGATAAGTTGTTTGTTTGACTGGCTGTTAAGCTGGTTGGTTAGTTTGTAAATTGATGGTTAGTATTAGCTTGTTAGCCGGTTGGTTGTTTAACAGGCTGGATGATTTGTTGGTTGATTGGCCTGTAGTTAGATGTGTGGTGAAATGGTTGGTTGGTTAGCTTACTGACTGGCTGGCTACAGTCATTCCAGAATTTATGGGTTTTTTTTTTTAATATTTTTTTTATATGAAACAATACGTATGAGTGCACGGACTGGCCATCTAGCGCTGCATAACCAGAAGCTCAACAAATGATTCATGATAATTCCCGCCCAAGTGATGTGAATATCTATACAGATGGCTCTGTGTTTAGAGGTAGACAAAGTGCATAGTGGGTCATAGCAAAGGCGGATGGACGTCGCATTGTGCAACAAAGTCTGGAAAATGATATCACATCTATTTTGAGAACGGAGGTGGAGGCAGTCACTGCAGCCTTCCTCTTGATTGAGAATTAGCCGTACAGACGTGTCGTAACTCTAACCGACTCACAGAGTGTGTTGAGAGAGGTGGAAACAGGCATGCTCTGTGCAGAATGGCAAGCATCCCTTCAGAGGTCCCGGGTAGAGAGAGGATATTTTTTCAGGTCATGCTGATTAGTTGGGAAACGAACAGGCAGATAGACTAGCCGGTTCTGCACCACTTGGTGGTGAACTGATGTATGACAAGCCCTGTGAGAGCAAGTGAACAGTGTGGAGACACAAATAGATCGTTACCGTCTGATGAGAATGGCGCTGCGTAGATTTACCAGGGGATCTGGCCGACGGTTAACACTTAACGTAAAGGCGAGACGGATATACAGTCAGACAGTTACTGGTACCATCGGAACTTGAACTTTTCGCTTGCTGATGATGGTGAGGACTTAGCGATTATGGAAGTATCCCGAGTGCTATGATGTCGATTTTTCATTCAACATTCATTCAACATTTTTTTATTAAAGGCGACATTCCTTTTCTATGTTATGGCCCTAATTCAAATTTCCTCTTCTTCTTTCTTCTTCACGCTCACCGTTTGTGAACTGTGCGAAAAGTTCAGTTTCTTGGGCCACTTCTCGACTTTTTTTAAAGTCTTGTTTCAGAACGTGAGTTTGGCGTGCACATAAATTTTATAGATCAGGCTAATTTGTATGCAGATTGCCCATTCCTTGACTCTAAGGCATATGTTCTCCGACATCAAAGGAAACATTCATATTTTGTTGCATTTTACATATACTTGTTGGGGGGGGGGGGGGGCTGTCTTAACGACTGGGACACTTTGGGCGCTTGTCCGAGGGCCTAACGGACATAGGGCCCCCAAACTAATCTGCATGCGTCAAGTGACTGGCGTAAATAAATTTTTTTAAATGTCCCTTATGTGAGTGGTTGTTGTATGGGCCCAACACACTGATTTGCCAAGCGCCCATAATGTCGTTAAGGCTCTCTAGAAGTGGGTCTATCCCCCCCCCCCCCTTTTTTTTTTTCACCCCTACTCCACAATCTTCCCAAATGTGGCCCAGGAAAATATAGGGGGGACAATTCAGCTTTCTAAGTGCTTAAATTAATTGTCTAGTTATATATCTACATCGTCTGTGGCTTGGCTTTGCGAATGTACTTCGTAATGTCAGGGTGCCGGGTTCGATCCTAGCTACGAGATGATTTATCTTGCGTTAGTTTTGACAGTGGTACCCAGAGCTGACTGTTCAGTGAAAAAAAAAAAAACTTATGAACGTACAATTTGCCTAGAAAGACCACAACAACCAAAAAATTGCAGCGGTTGGTTCTGTAACGTTCTGTAAAGGACACGCAAGTAATTTTTAGTTGTATATAGTTATAATATTCAGCATCTTCATCAGTTTCCACCTTCTTTCTTAGGCTACCTGAGAAGCAACAGTTAGCAGCCTAGTAGTCGCTGGATATCACTGGCCATTGTCATTCTGCATAGGTATATAATGTTTTTAACGCCATTAATCCATCTTCTTCTTGAGTGCATGCGTTATCCTACTTTCATACCAGATCTTGTATGTGGAGCGCCTGTGTTAATAGTTCTTGTGTTTTTTAAAGATATGACCAATTCATATGACATCTGCCGTCTGAAAGAATTAGATTAGTTCTTTTATAATGGTCTTATGTATTTTATAGTATTTTTTTTATACATAACATTTGAAAACATATTATTGATAATAGTATCGCCATTCCTTTTTAACCCCCTTCCCCCCTTCCCCAATTGTTCCTGCCTTTTCTCCCAGGACTGAGGATTGTACTGTGTAGGATTAAAAGCTCAAGGATGAGAATCAGGCAGAAACAAAAAATCCCGGAAACCTCGTTCAACTGTACAGCCATAGAGCACTGTGATGCTGGGACACCACAAAACGGTTACCAAGTAACATGTCATCTAACCTGGGTGGGTCTCGATAGACATATGCTTTCTACTCCCGTGTGGGTTCCGGGGCCCTATTATCGGGAAAACAAGAATAGACCCACTGCCCACCCAAAAGCATGTCGTTCGAGTCAACTGATTGGGAGCTTCCTTCGAAGTTGGAGTGCATCTGCCTGGGAGGCAAGAAACCAGGAGTCTGCACACAAATGTGCCAGGTATGTCAAAAGGATGCACACGCAACCCTCAGGTTCTGGAACAGGACTGCAGTTCAGAAGTGGACGAACAACCAGAACTTTCCACCAGAGTTTACAGCTGGTGAACGAAAATAAGAAGAAAAAGATATGCTTTCCCTTTCTTTTCGTTACTCATGTATTTAACTATTACATGTCCAAAGAAACTTGCTCGGAATTGAAAGAATAAAACAACATACACGGAATCGGTTTTCAAGTGATCGATTTAATTTGTTATTACGATGACCAAAATGACCCCCCCCCCCCCCCCCCGGCATTAAACAAAGGTGTAACAGTAAATGCGTTTTAATACATTGTTATACAATATAGTGAATGGTACCTGGCAGGTAGTAGATTTAACTTGAGAGCAGTCTGTAGATAATATTTGGTCATTGTCTAAAATTCACCGATGGTTAGCAGAGGGTCACAATTATCTAACAATGGCTACGGTCACCTGAACATTATTGTCAATGTAAAGAAGTAAAGCAATGACAAACTTTCTTCTTGAGGATGCCAAGAATAGTTAGACTAAAATTTTTGTTTAAAAAAAACGAACAAATTGTACCAGTTTTTACGGTAAAGTGGGTTCTTTTATGTAATTTCACCACATCACGCCAGCTTCGAGATTTGAAAGGGAAATCTCCAGACCGTCCGATAGTATGGAGGGGGGGGGGGGTGTTAGGGCTAGTGTTAAATGAATAGCTACTACTACTAAGACTAACCCTAATGCCCCTATATTATGGGACAGTCGGGGGATTTCCCAACCAAGTCGAAGCCGGCGTGATATGGTTAAATAACATTTTTTTTTTAACGTATAAAGTGTTTAACAAATGAGCCCGCACTCACGACAAAATGTTTATTACAGTAATGATGAAGAAAAACTTATGCGAAAAGTTTGTCCATATTTTCCTGTTATCCTCACGCTTGTACGGCGGTCTGCTTGTTGGTCGCCTGCTTTCGTCTTTTCTTCTAATATATGTTTTCTTTTTAAAAAACAGTGTTTCCTGTGTGGGTTCCGGGAAAACAAGAATAGACCCACTGCCTATCCAAAAGCATGTCGTAAGAGTCGACTAATTGGGAGCTTCCTTCAAAGTCGGAGTGCATCTGCCTCAGAGGCAAGGAACAAGCAGTTTGCATAAAAATGAGTTAGATCTGTAAAACGGATGCACACGCAACACTTAGGTTCTGGAACAGGACTGCAGTCCAGAAGTGGATGAACAACCAGAATTTTCCTCCAGAGTTTACAGCTGGTGAACGCGAGTAAGAAGAAGAAGAAGAAATAACAGTTTTATGTATTTTAGTATGCTAAAATATGTCTTCTTATTCTCTTCTCTACTTCTGGAATGCCTCGCAGCGTTAAGGCAGCAAGCGGTCGCTTTAAAACATTTTTAAAATTTATTTTAATTCCTTAACAGCTCTCTTCATTTCCAGTCTCCCCAGAAACTTTTGCATTTGATGTTTGTGTTTCCATGAATTACGATCTATTTTTTTTTTTTTGTATACATCACCCACCCAGTGCCGATTGGTCTATAAAATAACAGGTCTAGCCCTATTTGCCCAATACGTCTTAAGGCGCGGCAAGGGTTCTTTACTTAACTTCATTTCTGCATAAAAACATCTCCTGGTCTCAATTCTACTTTCTAATCTATTGTCCAATGTCCTGAATAATTGAACCCATACTTGGGTTGATTATACACAAAACACAACACAAATACACCGTCTCACTCCTTGACAGCTCTGGGTGGAAACGGGGAACATACGAGCGTACCTCGAGTGCAGTGACGTCACGTATGATGGCACATTTGAATAAATTGTGACGAAAAAAAATGTTTGTTTGCAAAATATGTTCTGCATGCCAATAATTGACACACAGGACTCTCGTGCGCGAGATCTGGTCTCGAATTATCGTTAGGATGATTAAAATTGTTTCTTGTTTCTGTCCAGACCCCCCCCCCCCCCACTAACCCCACAGCGCCCCCTAAAAAATTCATGCGTTTGTGATGACTGTATTAAGCATGTTCCCTTAAATCATCGGACTCAAAACCTGTGATCTACACCGCCCTAAACAGTGACACATACAGGCAGAAATGATATCTCATGTAATAATTAATGTATTAATATGTAGCTATGGTGATGAAACGTTATCTTCGGATGACAACTATAGCTTTGAATGAATATTTTGATGAATATTTTAACCTTCTCAAGGGGGAGGGGGTGAGGACTTCACTAAATAATGTTTAATCTTTACTGTGCTTTCATCTCTCATTATGTCCGTTTCTTTCTGTTCCTATCCAAGTTGTATCGCTCCTTGTTTTCCACTTCCTTCATAGAGGCTCTGATTTTCAAAGCATAGCTGTGGACAAACAAACAAAAAACAGTTGGTCATTTAGTCTTTCAACGAGGAAAAAAAAAACACAATGAAGGTTGCCTACAGTGCACGCACTAGCAGGGATTTTGTTTTTCTAGGCACGCAACTCTACGCAGTACCGGCACCTTTATTATAGGTTTCATGTTTTCAGCGCTTATGTAAAACACATCGTATAGTGAGTAACAAGTAAAGTAATGAGCGCTTTTCCACGCCCTCGTGTGTACTGTGCTAATAGGGCTAGACCTATATTTTAAAGACCAATAGTTACTCGGTGGGTGATGTGGTCAACATCACGCCGACCGCCTTTACTTCCCAGGATTTTGCTTGGTACCAATAAATATAAAGAACTCCACGGGAAAGCATGTACAGCAAGAGTCCACCGATCATCAGTAGAAAGATCCCTCGTCGACGATTGTTTCTGCCCATTACTTCCTATACAATCTCGGAGGGTGGGCCCGACCTGAGTCATGACGCCAGGCCTCGATCTTCTCCTGCTGCACTTTTGACTCTCGGACAGGGGCAAGACGAAATGGTGACTATATAACGGGTACTCTGAGATTCAAAGTTATATACATTGTCTCTGTTGCAGCCAGTTAGATCAGCCGACTGCCTTAACCCCCAAGTGACAAGCTTACGGTTGTTTCATCGGACACATGGTAGACTTTGGCATTTGGAAGAGAGACACTGGCAGACATTTATCGGACACTTTGGATTTTAAGGGATAAGAAGCTTAATTTTTTTCCAGGGACTCGAACCAGTCTACCGAGGCTATTCCCCCACGATGTTCCATTGCGTCCATAGCTAGCTCGAAGCTCTTTTAGCGGCTTCCCAGTTTTTTTTTAGTGACCGTTTACGCTCGTTTCCTCGCAAAGCCAAGCTGCTTTAGCACATTGCACATGGACGTGGAGATAAGACCTCTTGCGCCTACCTAGACGGCAAAGATTTTTACTGTGTATGCCTCGTCTCTTCACAGACCGGTCACGAGATGCCAATACTTCTCGAGCTTGTATATGTAATTTTCGTCAATTCGCGACTCGTAAGGCACGGTCAGATGAATCAGTTTAAATCAGAATCAACCAAGAGGTTGTGTGTTAGACCCAGTATCTAAATGTTTTAGAAGCGTTAAAAGCTCTGGCATGGTGAAATATACAACACGCGGTATAAGCGCGAGAGTGGAATATCCCCGTGACCTTGTGTGAAAGTCGAATCGCTCGAGGCCGACCTATCAGAGATAAGGTAATCAGTAGGTCGCCCAATCACAAGCGAGCTAGAATGTAGCGGTGAGTAAATGGGGAGACTAGCGTAAAATCAATCCATATCCTGTTGCCAATTTTAAACTGGGTCGACCTGGACGCTCATAGTCATTTATAATAATTCCCCCTGTGCCGACGATCATCATCATCATGTGCCAAGTACTTCGCCGAATGGCCTAGGCCAATGTTTCCCAATCTTTTCTTGGTTGCAGCGCCTTTTTTTTTTTTTTTTTTTTTTTTTTTTTTTTTTGAGTTAAAATTTACGCACAGCGCCCTAACGTAAGTAAAAGTATGACTATTAGTTTCTTGGTTAAATTAATTATGAAGCTTTTACAATATTTCGTGGCGCCCCTGTGAATAGGTCGCGGCTCCCTGGGGCATAGCGGCGCAGTTTAGGAAATAACTGTCTTAGGCGATCATGTTCTTCACGCCTGCGATCCCCAACATCGTGTATCAGTTCACGTGCTTACACCGCTCGATTTCACGACAAAGGACTGTTGTCCAGAATCTTCTCACGTTGTCTCCCTCTGTCTCTCTTTTCACAGATCTTTCCAGTGTCACTATATTTTCTAAGTGGCAAGCATCGTTCCAGTGGTCCCAGGTAGTTAGTGTCCTTTGAATAATTTCTCCAGATATGCCAGTATGTTGGAAAATGAACAGGGTTCCTTTAGTAAATCATACTGACAGACGATCATAAAATTAGCCTCTAAGCCGATGTAGTCCTCGGAAAACTGACACCACGTCCGACTAGAGCTATTAAAAGCTCGACCCGACGTGCAGGGCTGCCAATGAGATTTTTATGAAAAACCCAGCTTAGCTGAACAAAAACCCAAGCAATACAAAGACAAAGAACAAAAATGAAAAAAAATAAAAAACCCAGATTGTTAAAATTTACCAAATTGTTATTTACGAAACGAAACATTTACCACTTTTATATAAGGATATATTTTTAAAAAAATAACCAGATTTCCCCCCAGAATTCAAATAAAAATCCAGATCTGGGGGAAAAAACCCCAGCATTGGGAGCCCTGGTGAAACGGCATGCCTAATACCACAATGGTGGGGGGACAAAAAGGGGGGGGGATGGGGTGCGGTGGCAGTGGAGATCACCGCCATTACTGCCTTTATAAACACATTTTGCAGGCAATGTGGCTATTGCAGTCGCCTCTCGGAAAAGGAAGGTGGGGGGGGGGGGGGGGTCACAAGGAAACTCAATCCATGAACTGACGAATACGTTGTAAAAGTTACCTCCAGGCACTGCTGCTCCACTGTATCAGCCATTTTGCGCACTTGGTGAACAAGACCATGTCCACCCACACAAACATGAACACAAGGGCCGCCATAAAGTTGTACAGGAACCCGTAAGGTAGCTGAACTGTAATCTTTGGTAGAAACAAACGCATTTCTAAGATAATCGAACTGTGAGCTTTGGTAGAAATGAACAAAAACATTCCTACGGTAGCTGAGCTGTAATCTTTGGTAGAAACAAACAAACGCATTTCTAAAATAATTAAACCGTAAGCTTTGGTAGAAATGAACAAAAAACATTAGTAAGGTAGCTGAACTGTAAGCTTTGGTAGAAGGGAAAACATTACTATGGTAACTGAACTGTAAACTTTAGTAGAAGTATAAACATTAGTACGGTAAATCAACTGTACGCTTTGGTAGAAAAAAAAAACATTACTAAGGGAACTGATCTGGAAGCTTTGGTAGAAATTTAAACATTACTGAAATAGTTGAATTGCAAGCTTTGGTAAAAATAAACAAAAACATTACCAAGGTAATTGAACTGTATGTGAGCTTGGTAGAAATAAAACCAGTACTAAAGTAATTTAATTGTAAGCTTCGGTAGTAATAAACAATAACATTACAAAGGTAACTGAACTTTTTATGAGCTCTAGTAGAAATAAAAACATTAATAGGCAATTAAACTGTAGGCTTTGGTAGAAATAAACCAAAACATTATCAAGTAATTGACCTGTGAGCTTTGGTAGAAATAAACAAAACATTCAAATTTCGCTTTGTTTTCAACCTATCAGCCTGCAGACTTCACATGCAGGTAATCAGTTTTATGTCATATTTCACTCTGTCCACGCTATAGTCATGCTGGCTGTTTCAACTTTAACCGGTAACTCTGCGTGTCTAACCTCGTTTCAACCAACCAGTCAACTAATGCAGCAGTGCGTGACAGCAACGTCCAAGTCTGTCTATTCCACGCCGATCAGACAGTCCACCCTCTGCTCTACCCACAACCAATCAACGTATTTGAAACCATAAAAATGAATAAATTAACTGATTAGCCAGTCAAGGTAATCTACACTTAACGAATTGTTGTATTCCTTTCAAACCTTCTTATCAGCCTGACGGTCTGTCTTCGGATCAGTCAACAAGTCAACAGCGAATCAGTTAAGAAACGAAGCAATCAACAAGTCTGCAGCGAATCAGTAGAAACGAGGCAATCAATAAAGAAGTAATCAACAGAAGAAGCAATCATCCAACAATACAACCAGTAACTTTCTTCTCCAGCCAGTAGGTTCTATATATTTCAAACTATCAATTCAACCCCTTAGTTCCCCTCCCCCTGAATAAACCACAGTCACCAATCAGTTAGCAAGTGAAGCAATCAACCAACCAAACAATAAATCAACGAAACAATCAATCGACAAAATAATCAATAATTCAACAAAACAATCCAAGATTGTCAACGAAATCAACGAAACAATCTATGAACTAAACATACAATCACCGATACAATCACTCAATGGCAAAACAATAAATCAACGAAATTATAAATTAAAAATTTTTGAAAAAAGTATCAAAAAGCGAACGATCAACTAAACAATAAATCAGCTAAACAAACAATCAGTCAACTGAATAGTCAGTTAACTAAAAGAATAATAAACGAAGCAACCAGTCAATGAATCAATGATGTACGAAGTCATCAATCAACCAATTGGCCTGTTAGTCAATGTCGTATCAACTAAACAGCATGACTGTCTTACCCCGACTGAACTTCTTTTCTGTTTTAAATGACCATGGCTTCCAGGTCCACCAGCCTTAAATGGGTACCAGGTAAAGTCGTGGGAAGTAAAGGTGGCTTTTGTGCTGTTTCTCACATCATCCACCGAGTGCTGATTGGTCTATAAAATATTGGTCTAACTCTATATCCCTAGTACGCAGGAAGGCGTTGATAAAAGGCCCTTTACTTGACTACTCACCCCTATAAACTCCAAGGCATCAAAGAACTTTTTGACCTGTTTGCTGGCAAGAATAATGAAGAAAACCCCAATGGCGAAGACGGTTAAAGCGATAGTGGGTCGATCCAGGACTCCTGTCACGTCAGACAGCCACTGTTTGAGCCTATTTAGTTCGATCTTGGTGGAGCCTGTGAAGGAAACGATAAGAAGCACTGTAGCCCAGTCGTTATTATTGTTTCCTCCTTCTCAATGCTCACAAAACATTGTCCTCATCGCCATCATCACCACCACCATTATCACCATCATCAACAACATAAGCTATCATCTAAAAGAGCTCACACACTTGTCAAATATTCAGTTAGCCAGACGGAAATGTGATGTCTATCGGAGATTCATCACTTAAGTGATGTTGTGAATTAATATTAGTACTTTTGGTATTGCAGATTTATGTAATGTGCAGATGAAGGATGTCTAGTCGCAACGCTCGCTTGTCGTTTGTGTTTGGGATATTGTGAAGCTGACTGGTTCTACTTGTTATTAACTCTTTCAGTCCAAGAACTGCACAGATGAAGCCTGATTGAAATAATAATGAGGACAACAAAAGCATTGGTATAAGGCATCGACAGGATCCAACTGCACAGCATGTTGTGGGTGACTTGTGTTGTTGAGTGAACTTAGTTTTCCTGACTAAACTTTTAAAGGTTAGTTGCCTATCCTTTACAGGACGTTGCATAACCAACCCCAGGAGCCAATGGCTGTTGTGTGGTTTTTCTGGGCAAATTTTACGTCCAGTAGTTTGCCACTGCTTACTGGACGGTCGGCTCCCTGATAGCACTGTCGAAACCACCGCAACAGCGCATGGCCCTCAACTGGGATCGAACCCGGCATCACGGCATTACGAAGCGTTCGCATCGACTTAGCCACAGAGCCGACCTGACTAAACTTAGGAAGTACAAACATACAAAACATGCTGACTGGGGCAGATGAGTAATATCTAGTGTACATGATGTGTTGTTTGGGACAATGAAAGGGTTGAGTTTAATATCTTTTGATCAGCACCACAACCACCACCACCTTTCCAAATACCACTTTTAACCTCCAAATAAGTTATAATTAGGGCACTTGTAACGGCTACATCAGCCTAGTGCAACCTGCAGTTCTGCGTGGGTCATCATCCTCATCTCATCATGATCCTCTTGTACCTTACGGTGTCGAGGCAAAGTATAATTTACCAGCATGAGCCCACTGGTCTGTGCTTCATAAATTGGCATTCCCATGATTCCGTAATTACATCTGCCCATCGCTTGCATGGTCGGCCTCTTCTTCGCTTCCCGCCTGGTCTGTACATCATTGCCTACATTGGCATACTGTCTGTTGATATCCACGTTGTATGGCCAAACCATTTCACCTGTTGTCTTCTTATGAAATCCAGATCTGCTGCTAACCATCCCCCCCCCTCCCCCACCCCAACCCCATCTCCCATTTTCCTTCAGATTTAATCGTTTCTGATCGTGTCTTTCTTGTACGGGTAAGGATAATAAATGTCCATAGAACATACTTTTGTATAAGAGGAACTATACACGTTACTCCTCAAAATAAATTATTGCAACACACAATAAAGTTTAGAGTTGCACTGGCTTGGATCCAGTATGGCTCCGTCTTTCTCCACAGAACGGCTAGCCGCCTACCGAAAGCTCGGCACACGGAACAAACTCCGTACCTCCGGTGACGATCCTCAGAAACTCCGTAGAATTTGCACTTTTGAACTAGAAGACGCAATTGTGAAGCGAACCCAGACAATCGGAGTGCATGGCACACGATTTCACCACTTCACAACGGAGACAACCAACATACAATATGAATAGAAAGCCAAACAAATGGAAAGGAAAGACGCATACAGGTAAAAGCGAGCGTTTCAACCCAAATCTTTATTAAATAATACAACAAAAAGAATCCTAAATAATAAAAACAATTAAAACAGTAACAGAGACAGGTCATCATCATCATTATCATCATCATTATCATCATCATCCGACTGTTCTGTTTTGCAGAATTATTTCGATATCATGAATTCAATCCCCCACTGTAAGCCTCTCTCATCAACGTTCTTCTTAGAGTTTCCCTTTTAGTGCTTGTTTGGCGGTTCTTTGTTCGTTTCTTACTAGGATTCTCCCATTAGATCGCCATTTTCTTTGTCTTATGTCAGTTGGTTTGTCTTATATTTGTTGGTTTGTCTTATAACTGTTGGTTTATCTTTTACCTGTTTGGTTTGTCTTATACCTGTTGGTTTGCCCTATACCTGTTGGTTTGTCTGATACCTGTTGGCTTGTCTTATACCTGTTGATAATGTCTTATATCTGTTGGTTTGTCTTATATCTGTTGGTTTGTCTTATAACTGTTGGTTTGCCCTATACCTGTTGGTTTGTCTGATACCTGTTGGCTTGTCTTATACCTGTTGATTTGTCTTATATCTGTTGGTTTGTCTTATACATGTTGTGACAATACGCGCGGTGACTTCAGAATGTCTTTCCTCAACCTACTTTTATTTGTATGTATTTTGAAGTATACAGACAAATAGGGATTTGGATACATCCTTAATCTAAACAGGATGACCACATCACACCTTTAATTCTCCTGGACCGTTGGTCATATCAAACACTAAAACTTTTCCCCAGACGTTAAGTGTTGAGGTACAGAGATAAGACTGACCAAGCAGACTTACTGACTGGAGATTTGCACACCATTTGTTGGTGTCAGATAGTTATTCCCCCTGCCTGACCTTCAGGAACAGATAACAAGGGCTAATTGCCATTATCTCCCCCTGAGGTTACCTAAACTGGAGTGCCGGTCAGATCGTCACTATTGACAAAGTCGGATTTTATTGTGATGACAGGTGAAGTAGACTGGAGGTGTGACTTGTCTTATTTGCTCTGGTCAGCTTAATTGAACCAGGAGATCCTAGCGTGGGAATTCAAACAATAGTTGTACAGCCCTGACTGACAGCGAATAAACTTACCCACAGGGGAGGAGCTATGACATCCTTGAATGAGAATGATTTTAGGCGTAATGTAGGAGGAGCTTGATAAAAGTTATAAAGTGGTGAACTTAAGGTCTGGTAAATGAGATCCTGTCTAGCACATGCCATCTGTTGGGCTTAACCTAAGCTTGAGACAGAACTTTTGGCATCGTGGTTTCATTTTTCCAGGTAAGATCGAAATTAGGTTCAAATCTATATTTTATGATATAGATCGGTCTTTTTGCTCAAGTGTGTGTCTTCATCACTTTGTAATACTCCTAGGCGGACATTTCTTCATTCTCGTAGGGCACTGTCACATTGCTTTATATCCTATTTGATAGTGTCATGAATGTTTTTCGTGCACATGTGTTTCAATGTTGTAAAACCTAAATGTTGTTGTTGCCATTGAAATTTAATGAACTATCATGTTTTTGAAATCACAAGCGTGAAGATAACTTTAGCAATCTTTTCACGAGTGGTTAATGTGAATCTGTATTACATACAGCAAACACACTGAAATGTGTTTAACTCTCGGGAGGCTAACGCGGAGATTGATCCCGGAGAGTAAATCCACGAGATTTGTTATTTGATTCGCCCCAGAACTATTGTTAGCATTCTGGGCGCGTCGATTGTTCCAAGCATAGATTCCAGAACTGGTTCTGTGTGACTGATTGTCATTTTGAGTCTGTACGAGAGCTGGCACCTGACGTAGAAGACTTGACTATCATTACAGGACGTGTAGAGGAAGGCAGAAGATGTAACAGTTGGAATGTGAGACATAAGCCCTTCCAAATTGGACAGGAGTGAATGTGAGCATGAGGGAGAGATGAAATGTTTTATTTAAATAAACATGCTTGATGTTAGTATAATATACATGCTTAGTGTACATCTTGAGCAGATACTACAAATATGCGCTTGTTTCTTCATTTTCCAGTTCCCACATTGGGCAGGGACTAGTAGGCATCCATTATTTGCCGACCGTCGAGTGTAACGACCTGCAGAAAGCAGTGAGGACGACAAACTGGAAAAGATAGACAGGGTCTCAAGCCGAGAACTGTCCAAAGGTTGTTACTTTCCAATACCTTTATGATTTCATCATTCACATAACCTAAACTCTACTAGCCTAAACAAGTTCATTTTATTTTAGTCAGATTTATTAAATAAATCTTTTTGATGTTTAAACATAGTTGAGTAAATTGTGTACTTAGGTTCAAGTGTCTTTGTGCATATTAGTTTACTTCAGCTAACAAATATTTAAATCACTTGATGGGGGCTTTTTAGCAATGCCAGGAGAGGAGACCAGTCGCAGGGGTTAACTGAGCACCTGGATTATATCACAGTGGGTGTATCCAGATATCTATCTATCCCTTCTCCTTCTCCCGTGGATACAAGTACAGCAACTTTCATTTCATGGAACGAGCCACTCGCTGTTTTCTTGGCTATCCAGGACTGTCTAGGATCAACATAGCTTAGATAATAGTCCAGTTTCTCACGTGGGTGGGCATTGTTAAGGTTCAAACCCACACCCTCACTATATCAGTGTAGTTACCCACGTGGGCGCGCGACACATGTTAATAATAGCATTTGTCCAAACATGTATCTTATACCTTCGCCTTTCTTCAATTCATTCTACTTCATGTTCACCAGTTTCCTCAGGTATTTGTTCTCGAGTGCATTTAACCCTATTGTGGATTCTGAAGCCGCCTTTTTAGAGAAACAATAGTAGACACACTGTCCCCCTTAAATGCATGCCGTAAGAGGCCACTAAGTACATCTGTCTGAGAGGTGATGAACCAACAGCTTTGGTTAAAAAAAATATATGTAAAACGTATTTACACGCAAAAGTCAAGTTCCAGAAATAGAGCAAAGTCTAGACGTGGACGAACAACCAGAACTTTCTGCCAGAGTTCACTATTGAGAAGAAGTAGAAGAAGAATGCATTAATTTTCGTTACAGAGGGGGAAAATAAACTATAATTTAGGATACCTTAAGGTGAGTGTGGCGTCAGAGGCATGCATGATTCAATCGATTCATCAGTAGACACGGACAAGGACAAGCTGAAGAACTATCATATGGATTAGCGTTTTGACAGTGATGAGGAGGTTTCTGGGCTCCGCGATAAATACAACTTGAGTTCCAAACTTTATGTAAACATCTTATGTGTTTTATGTTTGTTTCCCTCTCCAAATGTCCGGTTCAAAATTAAGATGCATTTTATACATAGAATCGTCGTTTACTTGGGGAAATACTATAAATGTTAGGGGCACATGACTGACTTACTTTTGTATTCGTTTCTGTAATCATGTCTGCTCATCTCGTCATAGCTGTCTGGTGACGATCTGGGGCTGTGCAAACTCGCTGAAAACCAGTGAAAAAGAATGTGAAACTAAAGTATTTTAGTCCCGGTTAGAAATTACTTCTAAACAATCTATCCTGAAGTTGCTATATCTTAGAGCCAGGTTTACTAAACCGAATGCCGATACTCACCACACATTGTCTATTCCAGTAACACCTAGAAATAGTGATGCCCAAAAGTGCTGATGCTCCGTACCCTTGCGTACCGCCAGGGTGGGGGCGGGGGGGGGGGGGAAGCTATATAGAATAATACCCTATGTGCACCTTATTAAGAGTAACCAACAAACATATTGTGAGTTCCTGTTTCTTAAGAAGTTACAAATGAGAACACAAACAATATGTAACCATTTATTGCTTGGCATGTTTTGTTGTATCTCGTCAAGAGAATTCCAGGTTTTGTGCTATGTTCTAATTTCGGCAGCCCTGTTATTATCATTGTCACAGCAGCGCTATTGAGTCACCCCTTACTACTTCTTTTCTCTTCATTTTCCGCGTGCTCAAAAGAGCGCATGGCACACTATGTTGCGGTTTACACCTATAGTGCGTTTCAAAACTCATGCCGTCATACTTTAACAAAGATCTCAAAAACTCCTGCATGGCTCAACAGACATATTCGTATGTGGCCTTAGATTCCCCATGCCTTTACGAGTCTACAATTTATTATTGCACACATACTGTTGTTTTCTCAAAGAGGCGAATTTCTTTGATCTTAGTTTGACTAATAATTTATGTACTCCTAAACAGGAATATACAGTAATTGACACGCGTGTGGAGATTTTTCAGAAACCAGTTCACATTTGTAGTGATTATTTTGATAGCCTATCCTGCATACAATGAAACATCTACAATCCACGAGAGACTAATGCTGTAGATGACCACCTGAGAGGGAAACGTCTATGACACGCGTGCAATTTGATGTTTTGAAAAGTTTCCCTTGCTCAGTTTACTCCGCCGATTGTTTGCTTTGAATTTGTGTCTATTCTTTCATTTACCACAAATAAGGAAACATGAAAACTAGATGTTTGTTTACATGAGACAAAAATCTTACAAGACTTAATTTTTGACAGACTGAATGTCAAGTTTCAACAGCTGACACCGAACGGTTACCCAGTTAGAGATTATTAAAGTTTGGCACGACTCCTGGAACAGACCACAGGTTGTGATGACTGCTCCTTTTTGCTCAACAATTCGATTTCAGTCAACCCTGAATTAGTCGCTTTTTAATGACACGCTCATCAAGGAGCAGTGAGTGTCTGTTCTGTCAGAAAGGTAACTGAGCTAATATTATAAATAAGACAAGCAAATGGTGAATGTTGAATTAAGAATCGACATCACAGCACACGGGACACTTCCATAAGCGCTCCGTCCTCATCTTCAGCAGCAAACGAAGAGTTCCAGTTCCGATGGTCCCAGTAACTGTCTGATTGTATATCCGTCTCGCCTTTCCCTTGACTGTTAAGCGTCGGCCACATCCCCTGGTAACTTCTTGCAGCGCCATTCTCCTCAGACGGTAATGATCTGTTTGTTGCTCTGCACTGTTCACTCGCTTTCAAAGGGTCCTCACAGCATCTAGTTTGTCATACATAATTTCACCACCAAGTGGTGCAGAACCAACCTGTCTATCTGCCTGCTCGTTTCCCAACACATCGGCATGACCAGGAGACCATATCCAAAGGATGCTAACTACCCGGTACCTCTGAAGTGATGCTTGCCACTCTGCACGGAGCATGCCTGTCTCCTCCTTTCTCAAGATGCTCTGTGATTCAGTTACAATTACGACATGTGTTTATACCTGATTCTCAAGTCAGTGTAAGGCAGCAGTATGACAAGCGGAACTTACCCGAGCTTCTTCTCCGCGAATTTTGACTACTGCGCATTTTAGGGAACACAATGTCTCCTCTACCTCTTCAACATAGACTAGATTCTTTATTTCTTAAATCTGTTCTGTCAATTCTTCTCTGGAAAGAATCTCTCTTGCATGACAAATTACAAACAATTTCATTTCGATGAAATATAAAGCACAGAGCAAGGTTGGTGGTTTGTGATATACTGTCATCTCTGTGCTTTCGCCACATGAAAGTGTTTTGTGTCGCACTCTGCACTTGGTGCTCTGTCGTGTCCGTGTTAATAGAATTCCCGAATTTATTTTAGAATAAAGCTTGAAGGCAGAAGAGAATCAAAAAACAAGTACTAAAATGGGAAATAAAGGGACTGAAAGAGCGAGGACTCCCAACAGAAACCCAAAAAACAACGTCGATGAGAGAGGCCAAAGGTGTTGGATTGGATTCTATCCATGATTGTTGTTCGTCCATCACATTCTCTTTCTATCATCTGTCAAAGCTTACTTGTTTCAAGAACCGACATCACATAACTCTGGGCATTCCAAAAAGCGCTCCGTCCCCATCTTCAGCAACCAGCGCAGAGTTTCAATACCAATGGTGCCTGAAGCAGTCTGATGATATGTCTGTCTTATATTTCCTCTGAGCGTCGAGTACCGGCCAGAACCCCCCGTCACTCCTCACTGTATCACCAGACTTGGATGATCCATTTGCTGCTCCGAATCCCGCACTTGCTCCCATAAGGCCTTAACCACCTCTGCCTTATCACGTATCATTATTCTATCAAGTTGTGCAGAGCCAACCTTATTGGAATGTCCAGGCTTGCCACAGGGATCACCGCTATCACCAGTCTTATTCAACGTTTACACGGTGATGATCACTGAGCAGCAGTTGAATGGAAAGGGAAGGACTTTGTCATTTGCTGATGACATTTTGATTTATCGACGAGGGCGTGATAGACAGGAGATCGCCAGCACTATGCACAAAGAACTCGATCGAATTGCCGCCTGGTGTGATGGTTCCAATGCCTATGTCAATCCTTCGAAGGCATCAGTGTCATGGTTCTCTTTGAACAATCACATTGTCAAGTCGGACTTACCAGAAGTGAAAATGCGTGATAATGCATTGATCAGAACCAACGTTATGACGTTTCTCGGGGTGAGGTTCGATCGCAGCTTGTCATTCAGGGAACACGTTGACCATGTGATAACAAAAGCACGCAAAGGTCTATCTGCAATGAGGATTATGGCTGCTTCCAATATTGAGCAAAGACTACTAATACTTCTATTCTACGGTCTGGTCCTTTCCCCCATTGAATACGCTCTGGCCATCCTCACTGTCAGTGCTACCCAGATTGAACGACTCGAAAAGGTGCAAAATGAAGCCATGCGCATTATTTTGGGATGTACTAGAGACACATCCTGTGGAGCAATGAGGTATCTACTTGACTTTCCAACAATGAACCAAAGGATCAGGATGTGGAGGGCTCGGGCATATCTCAAAATATGCGCTGATAAGAAACACCCACTGCATCAAGCGCTTTTTAGTGAAAAGGGCGACAGACTGAAGAGGGGGAAATCGTGGCTAGGTCGGGCAGAAGATGTCATTAGGCAAATATGCAGCCTAACCGACATCATAGCTGGTGCAGAATGGATACCTGTGCCTCAGGCGTTTATTTGTACATTTTCCTGTATTGTCACACTCAACAGGCGATGTAGAGAAGAGAATCCTGTTGCTGTTAATGAAGAGGTCAACGCTCTCATCGGTGAAAATTCAGACGAAGCAGATGCAATAATCTATACAGACGGATCCGTTACACGCCAAAGAAGAAGCGCATGGGCATTTACAGCACGCTCAGCGGGCAGAACAGTCAAAGAAGCCAACGGCGCCTTCTCCATGACAACCAGCAGCATGACGATGGAGGTGATGGCAGTGACACAAGCGCTTGCCTGGCTTGAAACACAAAAATACACCCGCGTGTGTATACTCAATGATTCAATGAGTATGATCCGGAGGGTTCAGGCAGGTTCAGTGCGAAGACAATGGCTTGAATCATTACAGAAGTCCACTGTTCGTGGAGTCACCTTTATTTTTGTTCCAGGACACGCAGGCGTCGATGGAAATGAAAGAGCTGACAGGTTGGCTGGATCCGCTATCACTACCGACGGTCAGCCTATGGATCATGCTGATATTATCAATGCCCTCAGAGAAATGGGAAGAATAGAGGACTTTAGTGGCAGTGAATCCACATCACTCGCCAGAATGGCAGACTTGGGAATTAAGATCGGCACAGCAAAAAACGAGACGCACACCAGCTACGCCAGAAGACTTGTTAATCAACATAGAACTGGTACTATTAGCCATCGGACGTTGGGGTTCATACTGAGGGGAGGATCTGAGCACCTATGGACATGTCCGGAGTGCAATGAGGATAACCCAACTAACTAACTAACTAACTAACTAACTTAGAGCCAACCTACCTGTTTCTCTGTTCATTTCCCAATACACTGACTTGACCCGGAGAACAAATCAAGCAATAAACTTCTCTTGCGACCCCCGAAGCGAAGCATGCCACACTGCACGAAACATCAATACAGTTGAGTGTCTGTGAGTCCGTAGATCACTTACAAACCCAAAACGGACCCGGAAGAATCTAAGACAATGAGGCCAAGGAACAATTTTTGTAGGTTAAGTGCCTTTTATACTGGCATATCTAGCCTGTTTCGCTGTTAAGATGCCCTTTTTCTAGTCACTGCGCCTATTCGGATAGATGTTCTCCATGTAGTCCGGTCTTTGCAACAGACTCCCAAGTGTCAAGGTTTATACTGAAAGCAAACTGTACACGAAAGAACGAAATGGAAGAATAGGCTGCGATCCCTATGTGACATATAATAGAGGCACAAAAAGACGATGATGATACTTATTGAAGGTAGCTTTTTTCTTCTCATTTTATCCCAACACATAATAGGTGTGATCAACTGACTGACTGACTGACTTTCTACCCCACCAGGACATCACACAAGCGATAAACACCCGATGACACAAAGTGCCACCATATGGATGAGGATCGCCGTGGAGAGGTCCCAGAAACAGCGTTCAGACAATTGGCCATATTTATGGCCTGCCTATATTTCGGCCGCTGGCAAAAGCCAGGGTGGGGCTTCAAATAACAAAAAAATTCGTCCTAAAAAGGACGAAACACTTATTGCTAGGTGTAGTGTGATCAATTGTGTTGCGTTTGTGGAGGTACTAAGGGGGAGGGGGGATGTTGGTGGAAAATGGGAGAAAGGGGAGGGCGAGGGGGGGGGGGGGGCGTGTTCCGTGGCGTTAAGAACCGACATCACGGCACTCTCGATTTTCACAAGAGCGTTTCGTCGCCATCTTTAGTAGCCAGCACAGCGTTCCAATTTTGATTAAACCAGAGGAAGTTTTATTGTATGCCGCCTTACCAGTCGACGTAGTGTTAAGTGTCGGTCAGATTCCATGGTTACTTCCTGTTTCACCAATCGCTCCCGTCTGTAAATATTTATTTGTGACTCCGTACTGTTAACTCGCCCTAAAACGGCATTGACAACATCTAGCGTATCCTACATCAGTTTACCATCGAGTGGTGCAGAACAAGCAAGGTAAAATCGGCTGTACACACATGCCGTGATTGTAACTGACTCACAGAGCATGTTGAGAAAGGTGGAGACAGGCATGCTCCGTGCAGAGTGGCAAACATCATTTCAAAGATCCCTTGTAGTTAGCGTTTTTTAAATATTTTCTCCAGGTCTTGCTGGTGTGTTGGGAAATGAGCAGGCAGACTGGCCTGTTCTGCACCAACTAGTGGGGAATTGATGTATGACAAACCAGATGTGAGGACCCTTTGGAAGCGAGTGAACAATGCAGAGGAACGAACAGATAATTACTGTCTGAGGAGAATGGCGCTTCGAGGAGTTACCAGGGGATCTGGTCGCCGCTCAACAATCAAGGAAAGGACGAGAAGGAGATACAATCAGACAGTTACTAGTACCACTAGAACTGGAACTCGTCGCCTGCTGTTGAAGATGGTGGCGGAGCGCTTATGGGAAGGTCCCCAGTACTGTGAGGTCGATTCCTAATTCAACGTTCAACACCAGTGGAAATTCCCTTTCTTATCTCAATTTTAACTGAAGTAATTTGCCTTTTTGAATATATCGACACAAACTATACCCTTGTCGAAATACACGCAAAGCAATCTCCCATTGACTGAAGCGTACCAATGATGATGATGATGATGATGATAATGAATAAAGCACACCACGTATTACACATTTCCTCACACATACCCATTTTTTGTGGCTATTCCGTGTATTTTTGTGCTTTCACTTTCTTTGTACTGATAGCTAATATGACGTTTAAAAACAAATGTGTTGCCATGCAAACTTGCGTTGTCAAGAGACGCACGTTCTGGCTCTACCAGTTAAACAAACTCAACAGAGATCTGCTGATCGTTTACAGGGAAGTTAGTGGCCCACATAACAGGCATACTCTGGGAAGAAACACAACTAGACGAGTGCTACTGTTAAATACTGGATTTAAAAAAAAGGAAAAGTTGTTTGTTTTTAATGACAATTTGAGTTCACGACGTAATGAGGGAAATCGTTCACTTTCAGGTTGGGCAAGGTAAGAAAGTAAATAGTTATCTAAATAATGTCATTTGTGTGGGTTTCATTGATCCTTTAGGGAGAAAAACAAAAGATCAACCGCCTGCTGGCAAGCATATAAAGACCACTAATTCAGTAATTGGGGGTATCCCTTAAAATTGGAGAGCATCTCTCTGAAATGCGAGGAACCAATAGTGTGCATACAAATAGACGAGATATGTAAAACGGATATGCACGCAAACCTCACGTTTTCCTACAGGACCATAGTCTAGAGCTTTCTGTCGGTGTTAAACACCGGTGAACGCCTAAGAAGAAGCAGAAGATCGGCACAGTAAAACCAGGCAACAGTCTCTTTTCTTATTTTTCTTTTCCTTCCTTCCTTGGACTTCTCCTTCTATCCCGGCTCATGAACCCCCCCCCTCCCTCCACACCCCGTTTTCTTCTTCTTCTTCTTCTTCTTCTTCTTCTTCTTCTTCTTCTTCTTCTTCTTCTTCTTCTTCTTCTTCTTCTTCTTCTTCTTCTTCTTCTTTTTCTTCTTCTTCTTCTTCCTCTTCTTCTCCTCCTTCTCCTGCTCCTCCTCCCCCTTCACCTCCTCCTCATCTTTCTTCTTTGACTCTAGTATGGTCGTGATGCTTTTTTCTAATGCGCTGTATAAGTTGGTTCTCATTTCATCAGCGTGTTTTTTCTTCTGCGTCTATTTCTTCTCCGTCCCTTCTTCTCCTTCTCCCCTTCCCCTTCTCCTCCCCCTTCTCCTCCCCCTCTTCAGTTCATCAGCATTCTTTTTTTTTCTCTAGTTACCCAGACTAATAATCGCAGAAGATGTGGGGGATCGTCTTTGTCCTCCCTTCTAATGCTCTGTGTAAGTTGGTCCTCATTTTTTTTCAGTGTGGTTTTTGATACTGTCGTTCAATTTTGTATGCGTGTCCGATCTTCCCCTTGGTCTGTGTCCTTTGTATTTCTTCGCAGTGGTTCTCTGTCGCAGCTGGTACCAGGACATTCTCGTCAAATGGCTAAACCAGTGATTCCTAAACTGTGCACCGCGGCGCTCCAGGAGCGCCAAGACATATTCAAAGATACATGAGTTTGAATCTCTTACAATCGAATATTCATACTTTTATTTAGGTTAGGGTGCCGTGGAAACATTTTAATTGAAAAAAAAAAAACAATGCGCCGTGACCAAGACAAGTTTGGGAAACACTGGGCCACACCATCTCATCTGTTGCTATTTAGCGAGTTGAATGAACTTTCACTTTTATTTGCAATCAAGGCTTTTTTTTCGGCGTTACGTAACGGTACACAGAAAAAGAACCATATTTTGGGAACTATTTTGTGTTTGGCGCTAACTGTACTCGGCACCTTATTTCAGACCCTTTCTGGTGAACTCCAACATAATTTTTGGGAAACTTTTATTTTTTACAATTCTCGCCAAACAAAGGATTTCTCGGAGTTTCTGGGAAACTCTAATAATCTATGGATGTTGTGGGTTGGGGTTAGGGTTAGGATCTTTGCTAGCCCCGACCGCAACAGAGACTCCGATTAACCCTAACCCGACTCAACTCTTACTCTAACCCCAATCCTAACACACAGCCCTAACACATAGCCCTAACACATAGCCCTAACCCTAACCCCAACCCATAACTTCCCGAGAATATTGGACTTTTCGTTAACTCCGAAATTTCCTTTGTTTTGGGTGAATTAAAAATAAAGTACCCGTGTTTGTTTTTTGTTTGTTTTTCTACAATAAAATGCCCTTTTCACAAAACATAAAAGAAGATCACCATGGTTACATTTTATGTTTTAATTTCTCCCAGGAGGTAACCAGATTGGCGGGAAATTTTGGGAGGTCATCTCTGACGAGCATGGCATTGACCCCACGGGGACGTACCATGGAGACAGCGACCTTCAACTGGAGCGAATCAACGTGTACTATAACGAGGCTACGGGAGGGAAGTACGTTCCCAGGGGGGTCCTGGTGGACTTGGAGCCAGGTGGGTCTGTTCATGGAATTGTGTATACTCCTTGACTTGTTGTTGTTGTTGTTGTTCTTCTTCTTCTTCTTCTTCTTATTATTATTATTATTATTATTATTATTATTATTATTATTATTATTATTATTATTATTATTATTATTATTATTATTATTATTATTATTATTATTAATATTATTATTATTATTATTATTATTATTTTTATTCCGCATTCTGAGCCGTTACGGTTCATTCTACAGATATTGCCCTCTCATTTCTGTGACTGGCTTACTTTCTCCTTGTTGATATTCACTTTCTTGGTCGCTCTCTGCCTTTCTTCTCCTTTAACTTTGCTCTTGTCAGGACCAATTCGAATGCCGGGGAAGGAGCTTTAAAATAACAAACAAAAAATGTTCGCCCTTATTGAAAAGGCACTTTCCAAAATGACAAAGAAGTATTGCACGGGATATTATTTATTTTTGTTAAATACTAATTTTTGGGAGCTAATCTAAATTTAACTTCTTTCATTTGACTTGTTTAATTTAATATTGTGACAAATGGCAAGCGTAATTTAATATTGTGACAAATGGCAAGCGTAATTTTTAAACAAAAGAGAGAAACAGAAAGACAGATACCTGAAGGGTTCATGCGACATGCAGCACAAGAAAAAGGACTGAATCCGTGATTTTTGTGATCTGTAAAACAGTGAATGATATTTTACCAGGGCGCTGACATAAAGAAAATAGCCTCCCTTACAAACTTTCAGGGACTCTTAAAGGCCTAATTACTTGTTGAAGTGTTTAATAATAATCATGTGATGAATGGTAATTAAATACAATAATACACTTCGAATAATATCTTACTATAAACACAAACTTAATAGCAGAACTTATATACATAGCTGTGGTCGGGAGGGGGGGGGGCGCTATAAGGGTCTGGTACATTATTTTAGGGCACCCCGAACATAGGAAATACCGGAGTTCTCATGTACGTCTAATGTTCAAGTGCATATGAGTTAGGGTTGGGGTTAGATTTAGAGTTAGGATTAAATCGGTGTTTTAGTGGCGGTCGGAGCTGACAAAGATCCTAACCTTAACCCTTACACTCCTTGATTAATGCACCTTCCCGGGGAACTAGGGAATTTCCTTTGTTTGGGGTGACCTAAAATTAAAATAACAAGGATTTTTCCCTGGAAAAACAAAAGTTTCGCTCTAGGGGTGACTGGATGCACCACGCTCTCCCCTCCCCCTTTTCCACAGTTTCCGGCGCCCCGTACCTATCTACATGACCTTTGGTGATTTTTGTTGAAATACCTTTTATTCTGAGGAGTAAGTTTAGATCTTGTCCTTCTTCCAACCGTGGGTCAGGAACAATGGACAGCATTAGATCTGGGCCCTTCGGACAAATTCACAGACCGGACAACTTTATCTTTGGGCAGTCGGGAGCTGGCAATAACTGGGCCAAAGGTCACTACACGGAAGGGGCGGAGCTGGTGGATTCGGTGCTAGACGTGGCCAGGAAAGAGGCGGAATCCTGCGACTGCTTACAGGTATGGTAGAACACCGCCAACTCTAGATTTATAGCTAAAGATGGCCGTGGGTAGAACTGCTGCTGCTGGTGC